CAATTGTGTTTTCCAATTTTTGGCGCTGTCAGAACCACCGACGGGTAATTTTACGTAGTCCTGTGAAGTTTTGTTGAAATCGGTTGAAAAATGTAGGAAATACGATCCCATATATAAACGAACAGACACACACACACACAATCTGCGTTTTATAATAAGTAAGATTATGCGAAAACAAGACTCTCTGTCCTTTTACATTATCTATGAACGAAAACAATTCCATCCAATGAGGTGCTCGGGTAGGACTATTTTGATAAGTCTTGTTTCTCAAGCAGATTATGCCGACGTTGTGTCTGGCTCATAGTAATAGAAAATGTTCTGGAAAAAATACGGAGGGAGATAAAAACCGCCTTATCTCTGGATTATTTTTAAGCAATCAGAAGAATGAAATTTGAAAACCACGATAATTTTAAAAGATAGCTTTGTGAGCCTATCGCTTGAATATATTAGAGGGTGGCCATCAGTTTCAAATTCCTGTTCACCGTGATACGTTTCGAAGTGGGTAGTCAGAAAGATGTAAAAATTCCGGGCAACATATGAAGCCAATTTGGAACAGTGAAACGAACCCAAGTTTTCATCGATGATACAAGACAGCAATCACGCTGCTACTACAATTCTTCAATTCTTTACCGACTACTACAAGTTTATCATAACGACATTCATTAAGCACTCCTTCCATCCAACTACTGACGCTTCCGCTACTATATTGACCTAGCAACCCCGAGCAGGTCAGTAAATTGAGAAAATATTGTGAATTTCACTGTCACTCTACAAAGGACCATTTAAATTTTAGCAATTTATGTAAGTCCACAATTTCTTATGAATATTTTTCTCAATTTAGCTTAATTTTATTAGGCGTTAAAAAGAATATTTTGAGCAAGCCACTACACGCTTCTTTTTAACGCATAAATTATTATGAATAAACAAATTCTTTCTGCTTCAATTTCATACTAAGAGTCGTTTTTCATTGTACGTCTAAAGAGATAATTCATAGGAACAATCCACCTAGTTTTCCTTACATTAGTCACGCTTCACTGGGTATCAATTGCCGAAAAAGTAAAGAAAGACGAATATAAATGTTGACCTTGACCTGCAGCTGATTTATGAGATGTAATTTGCCGGCGTGACGTCAAAGCGAAGAATTCCTACTAGAAATACGGAGCATGCTATCTACTTAGGTTTAGTCCTGGCGATATCGTCCTTAAGAAATTGGACACCGAGCGTCAATGGTTAAAGCCAGTGACAGTATTGAGCTAAGGTTGCACCTCTTTGCCTTTTGGAGCAGACATCGGATAGCGTACAATCTAGTCGAAACCGGAAACATATTCGCCTGTAGGACATCTAATCTTCTGCGCGCTATGACATTCAAACAGTACAATACTATTAAGTAGGGCCGGTGCATAAAACCCTCGAACCCCCGATCGGGGCAGGCAAGCCTGATTGAGGTCTCTGGCCATTGCTTTGTGATACTCGCAATCTTATCAAGATATACCTTTTTTTTCTACCGACATTTAGATATGATACAAATTAAACTATTAAAGGATGAAATTTTTTGCTGGTTTTGACGTCATTCTGAGTTCTTTTGTTTTCGTTCAAAACATCTCCAAAGCGTTTGATAGGGTGTGGCATGCCGGCCTTCTTCGTAAGCTCCAGGGTCGATTATTTGATCTAATACAATCATTCCTGTCAAACCGTGAATTGAAGGTCGTTCTCAACGGATTCTCCTCCAGTTCCCATCCCACGAACGCAGGTGTTCCTCAAGGCTCCATTCTTGGCCCCACTCTATTCCTTATTTTCATCAACGACCTTCCTGACACCATAGATTCCCAAGTTGGCATCTACGCGGACGACACTACAATTTACTCCTGTCGCAAAAACAAATCTAGTGTCGGTGACAAAACTAACCTGGCCATGCGTCTTGAAATGGGCCTCCAATCGGTTGTTAATTGGGGCGAGAATTGGCTGGTCAACTTTAACACCTCAAAAACTAAACTACTCCCTATTAATCACCATAGAGATCCCCCCCATTAGAATGTCTGATAGTCAACTTCTTGAGAGCAACTCCCTGCGCCTGCTCGGTCTCACGTTGACTGCTGACCTGAGATGGAACAAATACATTGAGTCAATTGCTTCTTCCACCGCGAGGAAAGTTGGTTCTCTGTGCCGCGCCAGGAAATTTTTCTCCCCGGAATCGATACTTCAAATATACAAATCAACAATTCGCCCTTGCATGGAGTATTGCTGCCATATATGGTCTGGGGCACCTTCTGTTTACCTCGGAGTTCTTGACAAGATCCAGAGACGGATATGTAATATAATTGGCCCTGATCTGGCGTCTCGTCTACAGTCACTCTCTCACAGACGCGCAGTCGCCTCTCTCTGTCTTTTCTACAAATACTTTCATGGTAATTGCTCCGCTGAGCTGCTTTCACTGGTTCCCAGACTTCCTGAATTCAAGCGCCCTACGAGGCAGGCATCCCGCTTACACCGTAGAAACTTTTAAATGTAGCCGTCTCTTCTACTCCAATAGCTTCATACCTCACACCTCTCGCCTGTGGAACATCCTTCCCAATTACTGTTTCCCTGAGAGCTATAATCTCCAACTATTCAAATGTAATGTCAATCGACATCTCTAGTTACCTTGACCTATCCACTATCCCTCTCCTCATCCTTTCTTCTATCACTTCTATCTGCTCTCGTTCCAAATCTTCTGCAACCCCCTGCATCCTAGTGGCTTCACACCTTGCTCGGGGCGTAATGCTTAAAAAAAAAAAAAAAAAAATCCGTGAATTTGTTTTGCTTATGCGAAGTCTAGAAAAAACATTATATAAAATTCACTGTTTTATTTTTAAATTCATAATGTTGAATGTATTAAAATTATTCAACTTTTTAGCAAGAATAATCTCAAGTTGATCTTAAAAATTGCCGCAAAACATCGTTTATTTATTCAAGATGGGATGATATATTATGACATGTCTCTAAGTTGTATTTAGATACATTGTATTTATTTTCAATTTTTCTACTTGAATTATCTACGTACATTGTATTTGATCTATTACTGTACTGTAATTAGAGTAGAATAAAATTTGTATTTTGTATGAATGCTACTTTATAAAAATTGAGATGTAGTAGAGTGGGGAGCCCCGTATCATAGATTTGAGGGTATCATAGATTGGGGGTCACGAGACCCTTGCACTGGCCATGTTCCGTACTACCTGCCGAGCCATCGACGGCTAAACCAGTTCCTCCATCAGACTTTTCTGGTGAGGAGGGTGACTAGACACCCAGTAGGATAAAAAAAACTTTTCAAAGACTAGATGAACCTTCTTGTAGTCTCAATAGCCATTTAGCATTATGGGGTAGACTGGGCTCCATAGCTATGGATGCGGCCAGTGCTGTGATGAAAGAACATTGCTGGGGATCGTGTTCTAAACTAAAATTATTGGATGGCTCCCCTGGCGGAATCAAGGGCTACATATCCGTGACCAAGGTGAGCTTTCAAGTTGGAGGACATCGACTGTGGTTCAACCTGGAGAGGGATGAGTTTCGCCAGGTCAACTTGCCCGAGATACTCTATAGATGAATGAATACTTATCCGATTTTTAAATCATACCACTTTAGAAGACGAGTACTAGCTTCGATCCTTATGTATTCTCGTAAATTGGGTGCGCTTAAATCGATTTCATTTTTAATCAATTCAACTCAGGCAAGGCGACAACGCCACTAAGAAGAAAGGGGCTACTGAGAGTGAAAGAGAATGGACAGATTTGAGAAGGAACAGGAAAAACAATCCTAATCAGGAAACAAGAGAATAACCTCTAATCTTGTTCGAAAGATCGGGGAGGTGTATGAACCGGGCGATAGGCGAATCTGTTTACGCCTATTGTTTAAGAAAACGTGTAATGCTTATTGGAATACGTTTCTGTTGTAGCATACCTACGGACGATAATGGCTATGTCCCCATTCACATAAATACAGTAGTAAATACTGTATGTTGATCTGCAATTGGAGATTCGTCTCCAGCTGTGCTGGTCAAACTCTCTGCATCCGGACAGAGGGGATCCCTAGACGAAGGGCAGAGTCTCGTCTCGGGAAACAGCTATCCGACCCCGTTTTATACGTGGTCTACGGGGAATTTTTGGCCGAGCTTACGGGCTCGGATATGCCACATTAAATTCGGCCTTGTGCCACATCTAACTATGTGGGAGGTTGGTAGATATCCTACAGTTGGAGATTCATTGTGGAATTCACTTGACTCACTTCTAGCAGTTGACTACTTCTATGCGCCACTGGCGAATCTTATATATGTTGTTTTTGTTCCAAGTATTACCATTGTCAACCTTCGTTTGTTTATTCTGTTCCGCAACCTTCCATAGGTTACAATAGTTTCCCACTTTAATGTGTTGGCTGCTTCTATAATTAATGTAAGAGGTTTCCACGACAAAATTTTACATGAAATAATGGTGGTGAAAAGATACATGTACAAAATCACAGAGGCCGATTGATTTGCAATGCAAGATAACATTTATTTTACAAAAATGAAAAAGGAAAGTTGAAGAGTTTCTTTTCTTAGAAATTAATTGAATACACAACGAAAATTGTTAATGAATGTATTTGTGTGTGACTTGCCTGTCTAGGTGTGATTGTGTGTCAATCGTCCACAGACCTTCTTGGTGTGAAAAGTTAATAGCAAGGAATTAAAAACAGAAGAAGAGCGTTACTTAATGGGTTCGCCTGTTTTTATACCTTCCGTGATGTTACTGATAATATGTTTATTAAGGCACTGCACCACGAACAGAAGTCGTTTTAGGCGAATTTAAAAGCTAGTCGCACCTATTTTCAGACCGTATTCTTGACTTATTTCTTATGTCAACGACACCATTTTCCTGTTATTATAAAACAATGAATGCAACGATGGTGATTTTTTGCGGTTACCAAGATCTGGACTAATCCAACTAGACACCAATTTTCATGTAAACTTTCCTAGCATTAAGCGTCACTTGCGGCCATATCACGTTGAAACACCGGTTCTCGTACGATCACGAAAGTTAAGCAACATCGAGTCTGGTCACTAACTAGATAGGTAACCATTTGTGAATAACAGGTGCTGTAAGCTTGGATGTGCGGGGGGGAGTAATGGATAACGGCTCGGAATTCGAAATTGGTTAGCCAAGTTCCAATTCCAGTCGGGTTCGTTATATTCACTTACGCGCCAATACCTTTGGAAATGTATGAATCCACCTCTTCTCATCCCCAGCTATGGATTAAATAGTAGGAATTGTATCAGTAAACCATTATTATTATCTCCAAAAAGTTCTTACTCTAAAACTATTTTTTTTTGTCTTTAAATAATCTGCAAAGGGTTTATAGGACGAAAAATAAAACCAAATCAACCAAAACGCTGCAATAACAATCATAAGTATGAATGTAGGTCATTATTTCAATAAGTAAGGGGGTACAAATTTAGAATCTCTTTCTCTGTCTGACCATTTTATCATATGTCGCTCCACGAACGTAGTTGTTGACAAAGACTTTTTGTTTCTATTAATTACTTTATTATTTTATTTTATTTTTTTCCAGTGCAACCAACTTAATTTCAATGGGAAAATATATCATAATAACTTATTTTGCCTTAATAACGACAAATAATTACAAGCGCTGTTATGAGACTAAATGATGATATTCATGACAAAATATATTATTTAAAGAGAAAATCATCATCATCATCATCATCATCAGTCCCATGCTCGGGTGCGTTTCTAGGGTCGCTGCCCAACTGAGCACCTAGCCATCTCTTTCCATCTGTTTCGGTTGCGTGCCAGTGTCTGAGTCTCTGTGAATGATTTTTCAGTCTACTCAGTGACCTTGTCAGCCCGTCTTCTCAACTTGTCTGCTTCATTTTTTTGCCTCAGGTGGCAAATTGTAGGATGTCAGTGGAAATATCGTTCACTCTTCTTGGCGGTGATTATGGGATCTTTCAACGGGCCTGTTTCTTGCACTGCGTCATTTGTGATGCTGTTTACGTAGGAGACGCCTGGGATGGTTTAGTAGCATCTTAATTTATAATTAAACAGGAATTACGTTTAAAGAATCTCAATCGAAATATGCGTCAGTTTCATTTTTTTAAGCATTTCACCCCAAGCAAGGCGGGAAGCCATTAGCACGCAAGGGGTTACAGAGAGTTGGAGCGAGAGCAAAAAGGAGTGATTTAGGAAAGGATGAAGAGAAGGATAGGGGATAGATCAACACATCTGGAGACGTCAATTGACATTACATTTGAATAGTTAAAGATTATAGCTATCAGGGAAACAAGAAATGGGGAGGGAGTTCCACAGGCGAGAAGTGCGAGACATGAAGCTATTGGAGTAGAAGAGACGGCTACATTTAACAGTTTCGACAGTAAAAGGGTGAGAGCGAGATGCCAGCCTAGTAGAACGCTTAAATTCATGAAGTCTGGGAACCAGCGAAAGCAGCTCATCGGAGCAGTTACCGTGAAAGTATTTGTAAAAAAAGACAGAGGGAGGTGACGGCACGTCTGTGAGAGAACGATTGCAGACGAGATGCCAGATCAGGGTCATTGCATATCCGTCTCTGGATTTTATCAAGGGCCTTGAGACAATTGCAAAAAAAGAAAACTATTACCATTTTAAAGGCAATATATTCATGCTAATGAATTAAAACACTGTAGACATATTTGTGAAGTGATGTAGAAGGCGATTATCTCCCTTTTGCTGGGACGAATTTAGTGATATCGTAAGTGGCCCTCTAGAGTCACGAAATGCCCGTTAGTGAGAATGGTCAGTTGCTGCTTATGCCATGATGGTGATAGATGTGCTAGCGAGCTCCGGTTCAGCTGACAACGACCCCAGCACAATTTATATGCAACCTAAATAGAAGCGTAAGACATATCACTAGGGATGTCTGTGTACCTCCGAGGGGTGTTACATGTAAGACATTCGTTTTATTCGCCCCCTTTCACTTACTGCTTGCCTTTTTCTGTGTGTTTTAATTTCTCTGTACAGGACAGTTTGTGACGTTTCTAAACTGGATCCCCACAAAGTATGTGGACTTGATGGTATCTCTGCAATAGTCCTTAAGAAATGTGTTCCTGAACTGTCATCTGTTCTCTCGAAACTCTATAATAAATGCTTTGCTGCTTCTTGCTATCCTGTTTGTTGGAAATTCTCTTCCGTAGATCCATTCTTTAAAAAATCAAGCGAAGCGCCTGATTCATCTAACTACCGGCCTACTAGTCTTCTATGTCCTTTTGGCAAAGTACTAAATGCTCTAATCAAGTCTGAATTGGTTAAGCATCTCATCTCGCAGGGTTTTCTTTCAGTTAAGCAATATGGCTTTCGCTTCTCTAGCTCAACTGCTGTTGTATTAACCAGTATTACTGAAATAGTCTTTCTGGTTTTACGTAAGAATGGTGAAACTTGGGATGTTGCTTTGAATATCTGGAAGGCATTTGACAGGGTTTAGTATATTGATCTTCTTCACAAGTTAAAAGCTTATGGTACTTCTGGACTAATTTTTGAAATAATTCAGTCTTTCTTATCAAATCACAGAATGAAATGTATTTTGATCGGCCATTCTTCTAGACCCTTTTCTATTAATAACGGTATTTCTCACGGCTCTATTGATGGACCTATGTCTTTTCCTAATTTTAATGAACGACCTTCCTGATGGTATCAATTCTCAGCTCGGCATCTATGGTGATGAATGAAAAATTTGCTCCTTTCTTGTAAGTCTGATCGGTTCGATAAGGTTCAACTGACAACTGATCTCAGAAATGGCCTAGAATCTGTTGTTAAATGGGGCAAGAAATAGCTTGTTAATTTTAACGCCACCAATACGAAACTGTTCTCTATTAATCTTCTGAGAAAATCTTTCGGTCATCCATCAGCATGATTCATGCTAATCTCCAAGAGAGTAATACGTTGCGCCTTCGCAGGTTAACGTTTCTGCTGACAAGAAGAGGAAATACTATGTTGAATCAATCACTAGGTTTGTGATAGGAAAGTTGGTTGACTGTGTCGGGCAAGGCAATTTTTCTCGTCCGAATCTATCTTACATATTTATAAATCTACCATTCATAGACTTGAATATTGCTGTAACATATGATTTGGTGCTTCTGCTATATACTTTGAGATTCTTGATAAAATTCAAAGAAGGATCTTCAATTTTACTAACCCTACCTGGCATCTCGGCTTCAGTTAATTTCTCTGTGCCTTTTCTATAAATACTTTCATAGTAACTGTTCTTATGGACTTACCTCCAGGCTACCCAGAAATTATGAATTTCATCGCAGTACTAGATTGGCGGTTAGGTCTCATCATTTTTACATTTGAATTGGCTAGACTTAAGTTCTATGGTAACAATTTCTTTTCTCACACTTCTCGCTTGTGGAACTCTTTTCCAGCTTCTTGCTTTCCAGTCAAGATCTTCAAAAATTTAAATGCAATGTCCATCGTTATATTCTGTCTTCTTAATTCCTGTTCTTTTCTTATAATTTTTCACATTCATTAATCTCCCTGCATCTTAGTGAATTTATTGCTTTCTTAGGGTGAAATAATTAAAAAAAATAAATCACCGGTATTGTACTGTGCACATTTTAGGGATTTAACAAGTAATACTTTACTTTCATCCGTCACTTACTGCTTGCTTTTATCTGTGTTTTAATTTCTCTGTGTAGGACAGTTTGTGGCACACACACACACACACACACACACACACACACACACACACACACACACATATGTGTATGTGTATACGTGTGTTGCATCTTAGTATGATATTTATTTGTGTACTTCAGTGTTGTATATAAAATGTTTTCGCGTATAACTCATTTTTAATATTCATTTCTTGGGGTTCTTCTAGTCTTTTTATCAATCTGGTTAAGATGTCAGTATATCACAGCTAAACTAATATTTATAGTATACCTAGTACAATAAAGAAGACTTACATAATTCTGCGTTCTTTCTATCTGGTTAAGTTGTTAGTATATCACAGCTATACTAATATTTATAGTAGACCTTCGCTAGTAAGGAAGATCTACATAATTCTGCGTTCTTTCCAAACACCCCATTATTGGGATAGAACAAAATTTCAATATTCAATAGATGGAGTTTAAATACATAATTTCGTTTCACGCCTAAATTTTATACGGGGTTTGCGGGGAAGTTTTGGCCGAGCCTATGGGCTCGGATACCCAACATCAAATTCGGCCTTGTGCCATATCTGATCGCGTGGGGAGGTAGGTAGATATCCTGCAATTGGAGATTTATTGTGGAATTCACTTGACTCACTTCTAGCAGTTGACTACTTCTTCTACGCGCCGCTGGCGAATCTTATATATGTTGTTCTTGTCCTAAAGTATTATCGTTCATTACCAACCTTCGTGTGATTATTCTATTCAGTAACGTTCCCTAGGTTACAACAATATATATATATATATATATATATATATATATATATATATATATATATATATATATTCTGAAAGGTGACATTTTCAACACGTCTTTACATACGATTCGTGTGCGGGTTATAAATGTTAATTATTTTTTTTACTTTATAAGTTAAAATGGAAGATGGAAGTTAATTGAGATTCATTTTTCATTTGATGATTTACGAAAGGAAAAATCTTTGCAAACTTAAAAAGTGTGCTTTCCATGGCAATGGTTCCATACCTGTTGATCAATTTTTCACTTGCCCAAAAAATGGACATCTTGATCTGGAAAACACCGAGAATCTCCCAGGAGGTCAAGCAGTTGTTTATGACCAAATCGAAATGCCGGTTAAAAATAATTAAGGTCGCACAGTACGGGACATTGCAGAGATTTGTAAGGCATTTGAAAACTTGGATGCGTGATCGCTTCGATGTTTGTGTATCTCACGTTTTAACGGAAAAATGTAATGAGCCACATTTCCACATAAAATTCTCTGCTTAATCCCAACAAAACTACCCATTTAAAAAAACGATCAAGTACAATGAAAATTTGATTGTTTTTAACAACTTGAAGCGAAAACGATCTTGGAGAAAACGCAATAAATCACCGCTAACCACTCATCCAATGATGATGTGCCTCTGATGGGATTGAAAAGGGCATTG